AAAAAAAAAAAAAAAAAGAGAATTCTCCAGAGGAGCTATGGAATGTTTCATCAAAGGAAGAGACAGCATTAATACAGGATTTTAGTAGGGTGAAACCTAGGTAAAATTTACATTAAGTAGAATCTTGATGGACTCAAAGCAAAGGAGTTAGGTTGTGCCTGGACTGGGAGCAGGCCCAGGATCCTGTTTCCCTTACAAGGATAAGATAAATGTGTGATGTCATCTCTAAAAACCTCTCTGATGCTATCACCTTGGTTGGAAATCATGACTGCTTTTCTGTGTCAAAGTGTTAGACCTTCCAGGTAAGAGTGAGATTCTCACTATTGCTGTGCTTTTAAAGAACAAATTTGTTATAATCTATAATTTATTTATTATTATTTTATATTTTTTTGAGACAGAGTCTCACTTTATCACCCTGGTAGAATGCTGTGGCATTACAGCTCATAGCAACCTCCAACTCCTGGGCTTACGTGATTTTCTTGCTTCAGCCTCCTGAGTAGCTGGGACTACAGGTGCCCACCACAATGCTGGGCTATTTTTTTGTTGCCATTTGGCTAGGGCTGGGTTTGAACCCGCCACCCTCATTATATGGGGCCGGCACCCTACTCACTGAGCCATAGGCGCCACCGCTTTTTTCCTGATTTGTAAAATGGGAATAATCATGAACAGCTTACAGTGTTTCTGTGAGGATATTTGTGAATAAAATATAGTGAGCAGTCAATAAGTGATAATGATTGTCTCTGACCTTTTTTTTGATCCTTTAAAACTTAGACACATCAACTCTCCCAGTTGATGAAAAACATATGATAAAGACTAACTTGATTTTTTCCTGTTCCAGTTGTCCTGTTTCAACATTTGAAAAATGTACTGTTGGATTAGCATCAAGTTGGCATATCATTGGCCAAAGCTAGCTGGAAGATGTGTTTTATTTGGCCTACGTAGCATTTAAAGAAAACTGATCTAACACATGAAAATTAAGATGTTTTAATAGAAATCCAGTTTTCCAGTTTCTCTTAAAAAATTAGAAGATGTCGCAATGCCAAGCCCATATTCCTGCCTGACAAAATCCACTAGGGCCAAAAGGAGGCTTCCCTTGGGTAAGGCATACATTTTTATTCTGCCACAGTCCATATGGCTTTTGGCTTTCTTTTCTTATATGATTGTCTTGGCCATGTATGCATTTCAATTTGTGGCCCTCTAGACCTGCAGTCCCCAAACCCCGAGCTGTGGATTGGTTGGTATCGGTCTGTGTCCTGAAGGAACTGGGCTCCACAGCAGGTAAGTGGCACAAGAGCGAGTGAAGCTTCATCTGTATTTATAGCTGCTTCCCATCACTTGAATTACTGCCTCAGCTCTGCCTCCCGTCACATCAGGGGCAGCTTTAGATTCTCATAGGAGCATGAACCCTACTGCAAACTGTGTGTGAGAGGGATTTAGATCGCATGTTACTTATGAGAATTTTTTTTTTTTTTTTAGATAGGGTCTCACTGTGTCACCCTGGGTAGAGTGCTGTGGCATCACAGCTTACAGCAACCTCCAACCCGTGGACTTAAGTGATTCTCTTGCCTCAGCCTCCCAAGTAGCTGGGACTACAGGCACCCACCACAACGCCTGGCTATTTTTTGGTTGCAGTTGTCGTTGTTTAGCAGGCCCGGGCTGGGCTGGAACCCTCCACCTTCGGGGTATGTGGCCTACTCACTGGGCTACAGGTGCCGAGCCTACTTATGAGAATTTAATGCTCCCCTGTGCCTGTCCATGAAAAAATTGTCTTCCATGAAACCAGTCACTAGTGCAAAAAAAGGTAGGGACAACTGCTCTAGATAGTTGGAAACTGTCTAAACTAGGCACAGAGCACTCAATTACAGAATCAGTGAATCCCCCACTATTTCTTATCTGGCCATTATAAGAAATCCAAGTTTGTGTTTGTCTATGGTAGTTACTGAGTAACTGATTTTCACTTTGAGAAGTGAATTAAACTAATCTTTTGTTAGGATACACTAGGTTAGGCTATGGTAAGAAACAATCCCCGAGTCTCAGTGGCTTAAAACAACAAAGATTTATTTCTCACTTACTCACACACACCTGGGCACAGAATAGAACTACTCTCCTGTTTTCCATGCACAGAGACAGACAGGAGTGCACATGTATGTAAAGAATCATGGAACCCTGGAACATGAACTCATAGAAAAACATATTTAGATACTGGGCAGCTTAAACTGCACAACTCTCTTTTTGGGAGGTTTTAAAAGGTCCCAGGACCCAAGAAGGGGTCCGAGAATACCCACCTTTTGCCAATGAAATGCCCACACTACAAAAGGAACTGAAAGCTAATGAAGCACCTGAAAGCTTTAAAAAAAAAAAGCCTAAAGCTTGTAGTGCATTAAATTTCACACATACACCCGCAAGTGAAACACTAAACATGCAGGCTATCCGCTCCCTGCCCCAGCAAGGCAGCTTCCACCTCTGGCTTCTAGCTCAGGAGAGAGATGGACCCCAGACGCCCAATATGCAGAGCAACAGCAGGGGCTGGGCTGGGTCGGAGAGAGGGGCCAACAGGCTGGAATCCTCTTCCTCCAGCAGGAGCTGTATATAGACAGGAAGGAAAGGGGCAGGACCAGGTCACATCCTCTCCCCTCCCAACTACCTGCTTTTTACTCCATCCAATTCATACCTCACCCTTGTTCACCTGATTTCGTTTATTTTTTTTGAATATTTATTTTTTATTTTTTATTCTTTTGTAGAGACAGAGTCTCACTTTATCACCCTCGGTAGAGTGCTGTGGCGTCACACAGCTCACAGCAACCTCCAACTCCTGGGCTTAGGTGATTCTCTTGTCTCAGTCTCCCAAGTAGCTGGGACTACATGTGCCCACCACAACACCCAACTATTTATTTTGTTGCAGTTCAGCCTGGGCTGTGTTTGAACCCGCCACCCTCGGTATATGGGGCCAGCGCCCTACCCACCGAGCCACAGGCACCACCCTGTTCACCTGATTTCTATGCAGACCTTCTTGCTGATTTTCCCACCTCCAGTCTTGCTTCCTCCAATCCCTCCACTAAAACCACAATACTTGTTTTTCTAAATCCAGGGTCTCTGAATTTGTTGCTGCTTTAGCTCAGAAACATTCCCTAACTCCCCTTCACACACAGTTGCTGTTTGAGTCTCCTAAGCCTGACGTGCTAGATCTCCATGTTTAAAGCCTCTCCAGCTTCATCTCTTTCTGTTCCAGCAGTTTACCAGGCCAGTCTTCCCCACCCGCTATTTTGACAGGGGAATTCTCAGCTTTCCTCTCTGTCACCCTAGGTGTTTCTCTCTCTTCAAGCTTCCTCCAGTCTTCTCCAGGTTTTTGGCTGAGTCTCGTAAAGGTATCCAGGTTCCCCAACCAGAATGGAAGCTCCTTGAAGGCAGTTATCAGACCTCCTCCCATGACAGACCCTTGTTACCTCTTCAGCCCCTTTCTGGACTTCAGCAGGCAAGTTGGGTCTAAAGCAGCAGTTCTCAACCTGTGGGTTGTGACCCCTTTGGGGGGAGTTTGTAACAATGAAAATACATCCTGCATATCAGATATCTACATTACGATTCATAACAGTAGTAAAATTACAGTTATGAAGTAGCAATGAAAATAAGTTTATGGTTGGGGGTCACCACAACATGAGGAACTGTATTAAAGGGTTGCAGCATTAGGAAGGTTGAGAACCACTGGTCTAGATAGAGCACTGGGCTGGAGTCAAGAGACCAGGGTCTTGGGTGACACCTGTGGCTCAGTGAGTAGGGTGCAGCCCCATATACGGGTTCAAACCCGGCCCCAGCCAAACTGCAACAACAACAAAAATAGTGGGGCATTGTGGTGGGCGCCTGAAGTCCCAGATACACAGGAGGCTGAGGCAGGAGAATTGCCTAAGCCCAAGAGCTGGAGGTTGTTGTGAGCTGTGACTCAACGGCACTCTACTGAGGGTGACAAAGTGAGATTCTGTCTCTAAGAAAAACAAAACAAAAAAAGAGACCAGGGTCTGCCTCTCTTTCACTATATGCCCTTGAGTAAGTCCCTGTCTCTCTCAGGGCTTCATTTTCCTCGATGTCAGGGAACTGGATATTTGCTGTTGAATGCAAAACTGATAAAACAGATCCATCGAATGACACACCATTACAATCAAAGGGCCAGGTCCTCAGGCTCCTGGCCCTGAAGATGTTGAACTTGCTGATCCCTGATCTCCTTGATTAGTCCCTGCTTACTTCAGTGACCTCCATTTCCCAACCATCCCTATCCCACCCTTTCCTTTCAGGTAGGGAACAGGCTATGGTTACCTGGTGGGCCACAAGGGTGAAGCAGGGAAATCCAGGCAGGGTTGGGGGGTACAGAAGGGGTCAGGCGGGGAGCCTGGGATGAATCTTTCAGGCCCACAAGGGCCTCAGCTGCTTCCTGCTGCAGCTGCCTTTCTGAGGGGGCAGATGTCCAGGTCAGACGAGAGGCTCCAGGGGCCTGCAAAGAAAAGGGAGAGAAGCAGACTGGGAACTCCTACTTCCTTTCATCCTCTGTTGCCTCAGTGCCTAGTTCTTTTATGGTTTCCTGCTGTTCCCTTCCCCAGTTTCAACCTCCTCCCAGGATCCTGGATCCCACTTCCTTCCCAGGACCTGTGGCTGTAGCAGAAGAGGGTCTGAGGTGCCACAGGACTGGAGTATCAGAGTTGAGCATCTAGAATTAAGGACAGAAGATATCATGGTGGTTAAAAACATGGACAGACATGAACACACGGAAAGAGGGGCAGGATTTTGCTATATGCTGATATGGGAATCCAAGAGCCTGCTAGGTCATTAGGGTTTGTGAGATTGGACAAACCCTGCTCCCTGTCTTGGCCTGCTTTGTTTTCTGTAAGGTGAAAATCTCTACCAGCTTTTCCCCAGGGCTACTATAAAGATTACAGAAAATCACTGGAGTCAGTAATTTTTTTTTTTTGAATTATAAGATAGAGTTTTGCTTTGTCTTCCAGCCTGGAGAGCAGTGGCACAAACATAGCTCACTGCAACCTTTACCTCCCAGGCTCAAATGATCCTCATACCTCAGCTTCCTGAGTAGCCAGGACTACAGGCATACCCCACCATGCCTAAATTAAGAAAAATGTTTTTTCCCTTTTTTTTTTTTTTTTTTTTGGACTTTATGGCTGGGGCTAGGTTTGAACTCACCACCTCCAGCATATGGGGCCAGCGCTCTACTCCTTGAGCCACAGGCACCACCCATAAGAAAAATATTTTTAGGGCTGGGCACAGTGGCTCAATGCCTGTAATCCTAGCATTCTGGGAGGCTGAAATGGGTGGACTGACTGAGCTCATGAGTTCGAGACCAGCCTAAGCCAGAGCAAGACCTCATCTCTTAAAAAATAGCCAGGTGTTGTGGCAGGCGCCTGTAGTCCCAGCTACTTGGGAGGCTGAGGCAAGAGAATCATTTGAGTCCAAGAGTTTGAGGTTGCTGTGAGCTGTGACGCAATGGCACTCTACCAAGAGAGACAAAGTGAGACTCTATCTCAAAAGATATATATATATATATATATATATATGTTTAGAGATGGGGTCTTACTATGTTGTCCAGGCTGCTCTCAAACTCCTGGCCTCAAGTGATCCTCCCTCTTCAGCCTCCTAAAGCACTAGAATTACAGGTGTAAGCCACCATGCCTGGCATCAGTTTTTAATTAAAAAAAATAAATTGACAAAATACATGGAAGGATTACTGTCACTGCCCTACTAGAGTCTGGTTCCTCTCCCCCCAGTTTCCTACAGAACTTGAAGGATAACCTGCTTCACCTTTAGGAAGCTTTCCCTAATGGCCTCTAGCTTCTCTCCTAGGCCTCTGAGACTCTCACCATTCCTGCCCCACATTTCAGCAGGCAATCCTACCCCACCAAATCTGTTTAAACAGAATTTAATAGCCAAAGCCTTTGCTAGCTGTATTCCATACATTATTGGTAATTCATATGATAACTCAAGAGTTAGTAATAGCAAAAGAGACTCAGAAAAGTAAAGATACTTGTCCAAAGGTTCACAGCACAGCTAGGAAATGATGGCACTAGGAGAGCTCTGCTTTGTCTATTAGTCTGAGATCTTATCATCAGCACAGGCTTAGTCTCATGACATACATTCTCCTTTCTGTACTCACGTGTGGGGTAGGCTAGAGGGCCCCTGAGGCTCTCCAGAAAGAGGAGCTGTCAATACAGGGCGAGATCCAGGGCAAGTGGTGAGGGGCCCATGAGTAGGCAGCCGGAGGGAGGTGCCAGGGTCAAAGCCTAAGAAGGGTAAGAGAATGCACTTATATAGGGGTCAAAGGTTATGGTTTCTGTCCACTCTGTCCCCACCAGTATCCTCTTCCTCCTCCCTTTCTGACACATGGCAAATCAGCACTCAAATATCTCTTGAATAAATGTTGAATTATCATCTTACCAGGGAAAGGATGCAGAGGGACAGCAGGTTCTTGGCATAGCAAGCGACATACCACTGGAGGTGGCATGGAAAAGCCTGGAGATAGCCAGTGTCCAGGGGCCCAAGGGCCTGGAGGCACTGGAGTCCAGGGCAAAGGCAAGGCTTCTGGGGGGCGGCTGAGTAGCAGAGGACCCCGGGAGTTCTCCTGCAGGGTAGAGGGCAAAGGTTGGGGTTGGGTACAAGGCTAAAGAAGGAGTGGACATGTTCTAGGATAGGGGTAGAACTTCAAAACTTTAGAGCCAGGAGGGCCTTAAGGTCCCACTCTCTCATTTTGCCTACAGAAAAGAAGTGATTTGTCCACAAGTATATAGCAAGTCAGTGCTAGGGCTAGAAGCCAAGTATTGAGGGAAAAGAGGAAAGGCTCTGGGGAGAAGCCACAGTGGAAACCACTGCCTAGGGCCTGGGCTCTCCTTACCTTCCCAGGGGGTGTCAGCGCCAGTGGGACTGTCCCATGAGGGGTCAAAGACTGGGGTGCTATGTTCTCCTTTCCAGCTGTGAAGAACCAGGAGGAGGTCTAGTGAGCACTTTGTCCTGACCCCAATCCCTACCCAACCCTAAACTGAATTCTTATCTTCTTCTGGTCACTTTCTACCAGCAGATCTCACTGTGTCTTCCTGGCACTGGGATGTCTGAGGCCCAAGAGAGTAGAAACACACTGCTCAAAATCATACACCACTTCAGTGGCTGGGACTCTTCCCCACTTCTGCTTTCTCCACCCAAATCTCTGCCCCATCCCTGGCCAGAGACACTCACAGGGCAGACACTCACCTGGTTGACTGGCTCCCTTCTTAACACGGCTTGGAGCTTTGGGAGGGGCCGCCCCTCTCCTCATCAGTCCCTGGGCCAAGTGCCTCTTTAGCTGGGCCTCCTGCTGTCTCCGCAAGGCCACCTGGGCAGCCATGACCCTCCGGCGCTCCCTAAAGAAGGGAAGGGTTGGCCCATCAGCTGCCCCTACGAGGTGGTCCATCCTCCTCCCCTCCTGGATCTCATGCTCACAGGATGAGGACGCATTTGTGACACTCGCAAGCCTGAAAGAGGCAGAGGCGCTTGTGGCCTTTGAGGTGAGCAGTGACACCATGGTTGCGGCAGCGAGCGCAAGTTGGAGAGCGACTGATGGCTCTCCTGGGGATAAGCTCCATGCCCTGAGGGGGTCTGGTCTCAGCCACTGGGGTTGAGTCGGAGGGGCAGTGGTGGTCAGCAGGCATCTCATTGGGTTCCATGGATCTAGAAGCAGGAGCACAGGGTCAGGATGAGTGAGGGCCCCCAACCCAGACCTCCTGGCCTCTGTGTTTTCCCCCTGCCCACTTTCTGGACTCCGCTTTCACTTTAGCTTCTCCCCTTTGCTTCCCAAGACCTTTCATAGGTATCCTCCTTCCTCAGAAAAATCCTTCTCCTTTTTCCTTTTTTTTTGAAACAGCTTCACTCTGCCACTGTGGGTAGAGTGCTGTTCTGTCAAAGCTCACAGCAACTTCAAACTCTTCGGTTCAAGCGATCCTCCAGCCTCAGCGTCCTGGGTTGCTGGGACTATAGGCACCTGCCACAATGCCCGAATATTTTTAGAGATCGGGTCTTGCTCTGGCTCAGGCTGGTCTTGAACTCATGAGCTCAAGAGATTCACCACCTCAGGTTCCCAGAGTGCTGGGACCACAGGCACCTGCCACAATGTCCAGCTGGTTTTTCTGTTTTTAGTAGAGACGGGGTCTTGCTCTGGGTCAGGTTGGTCTCAAACTCCTGAACTCAAGCAATCCACTTGCCTTGGCCTCCGGAGTGCTAGGATTACAGGCCTGAGCTGCCTCACTGGCCGCCTCTTTCTTCTGTATTCTTTCAACTCAAACAGTATTTTCTTTTCTCACCTGCATGTTTCCCACACGCATCAATCCCAGTTTCGGGCATCCTGAAGCCCCTCACATTCCCTTAAATGATTCTTACACCCCACTTTCCATGTTTTCGTGTTCCATCCATCGGTCTTTCCTGGCACCCTCTTTAACCATCCTTATCCTATCCTCATGCTTTTTTATCCAATTCCTATAGATATTTTACGCTCCCTATTCTATCTCTCTTTATCTCCGGGTCAATCTCCTCTCTCCCCTTTCCCTTGCTCTCAGTTTGTTCCTGCACCCTTTGACATCAGAATCCTTTTGCGCCCCCAGACCCCCATAATTACATTCTTCTCAGGATTCCCTGCCCCACTTTCAATAGTTATTTTCATTCACTCCCATTCATTTCAAAAATGTTTGCTGAGCCCCTGCCATGCACCACACCCGGATCTAGGGCAAAGGCCCTCTACCAAGGCTTGAACTTGTCTCCCGTACTGGCAGGGTCCAGGTTCTCATGCAAACCCGTGTAGTCATTGCACCCAGAGCTTCACGCTCTTGTGCCCGCTTTGACAACTTATCTCATGCGCCCCCTTCCATGCACCCTTCCCCCTCAAACACCAGGCAGCGGCCACCCCCCTCCAGGGTCCTAGGGAGGGGGCGGGGCACTGGGAACGCGCCGAGGGGCCCGCGGCGTGGGGGAGGGGAGAAGAGGTGCGCGAGGAAGGGATGCGAGGGGGAAGCCGAGGAGGAGTCCAGCGTCAGAGAGAGAGAGAAGAGGTGGCGAGGAGGGGAGGAGCCGTGTTCGCACAGCCGGCCCTGTGGTTACCACAACTTCGAGCAGTGTCACACTCAATCAGAAGGAGGCCAAGGTACCAGGCCAGAAAGGGTACAGAGGAACGGCCAAGCTCGCGCTGGTTTTCCCGCCCCTTCTCACAAGGACCAATGAACTTCAAGTGCTGCCTCCTCCAACCCGAGGCGGACGACCAATGTGCTTCAAGATCCTGAGCTGAAGACCCACCCCTTCCCTCTCTGCTGCTTTTTCACGCGTCAGACTATCAGGCCAGCCAATCACGCCTCGAGTTGAGTCTCGCGCCTTGTACCCCTCCCCCCGGGTGGACTTTCTTCTCCTTCTGGGGGGAGGTGACCAATGGGGCGTCGAGTACTGCCTCTGGGATTGAGGCTGGTCCCGCCCACCGGGAACGGCCCTCCCAGAGCTACTTGTGGGGTGTGCGCATGCGCAGTTTTTGTCGTTCTGTCTTTCTTTCTTTCTTTCTTTCTTTTTTTTTTTTTTGTGGCTTGCGTTTGCTCGGGTGGCTTGTGCTCGCTGCTTGGGTTCTCGTGTTTTCTCTCATTCCTCACCTGGTGCCTGAGATTCCCTTCTCCCTTATCCTTTTATGCAGTCTTCCGGGGCTCTAACTTCAGGTTGTTGCTTCTGATTTTGCTAACCTCGATTTTCACTCTTTCCGCCTACAGTCACGCTGCTTTCCCAACTTCTTTCTCCTGGTGCTTCATTCTCTAATAGCCTGGTCCCCTTTCCTCCTTTCTTGGCTTTCTCAGACGCCTCTAGTTTTTCTGTCCCTCTGAGCCCCGAGCACGCATCTCCCTCTCGGATTTCACCCTTTCTTGGGGCTCCCCCGTTGCCTTATCGGTGTATCCCTAGTAGAGTCTTTCACGCTTTCCCTCCCTCTTCATTCTCTTTGTTGTCCCCCTTTCCCTGTGGGTCTCTCCCTGTCTTCTTTTCCCTTTTTTTATCCTCTGGGGTTGACCTGCTGCCACCAGTCCCATCTTTGTGCCCTGTGCCTCATTTCCCCCCCTCCTCTTGTCTCTGCTGGTCCTCCTCTGCCTCCTTGCCGGGTCTGAGGTCAGTTTGCACCTGCTGCTGTGTAGGTTTCTGTTTTGTAGGGGTGGCAGGTGGCATCCCCTCTGACTACCCCGTCCCCCTTTTTTGAGACAGAGTCTCACTCTGTCACCTAGGATAGAGTGCTGCTTGGATAGCTCACAGCAACCTCAACCTCCTGGGCTTCAGCAGTCCTCCTGCCTCATCCTCCCGAGTAGCTGGGGCTGTAGGCACCTGCCACAACTCCTGGCTAGTTTTTCTATTTTAGTAGAGATGGGTTCTCACTCTTGCTCAGACTGGTCTCGAACTCCTGGGCTAAAGCAATTTACCCACCTCAGCCTCCCAGAGTGCTGGGATTACAGGTGTGAGCCACCACTCCTGGCCTTATTTTATTTATTCTTATTTTGGAGGATTTCATTCCAATCTTTTGTGATTGTGTCCCCACTTGTGCTCAGATTGCCGGGTCCTGTTGTTCTGCACCCCAGGCTGGTGTGTGCCTTGGGCCCTAACCCCTCTGGGAATCCTTTGCAGCCTCCCCTTCTTGCCATGTTCCGTGTCTTCTGCAGGTGTTAGCGTATTGTTCATCACAGATTTGGGGATCACAGAGGGTGTCTGTGTGTGGCGTTCCAGGCAGAAGTGCCCCCCAGCTGTACTGCTGTTTGGGGGAAGTGGTGTTAGATTAAAATTAGAAAGGCTGTTTAGGACCAGTCTGGGCTGGACTGACGCAAAGCTTGAGTGCCGGCTAAGGAGGTTGAATTTGACCCTGTAGGTAATAGAAAGGGAGCAAGAAAGAGACACAGGAGAACAAACATTTATCGAGAGACTCACAGTAGCCTGGAACTTTGTTGATCTTCACAGTGATCTCATGAGATGGATTATTAGTCCATTTCATAAATGAGGCAGACTCAGAGTTCAACAAATTGTAAAGATCACACAGCTATTAATAGTAGAGGGGTACAGATTCCAACCTTGGTCTATCTTGGAGTCTCAAGCCTATGAACCTATGAGCTCTTTCATATTTATTTTTTAGTTATTTTCATGAATCCCCAGTCTGCATTTTCATTCATTTTTTTTTTTTTTGAGACAAGGTCTCACTATGTTGCCCTGGGTAGAGTGCTGTGCTGTCACAGCTTACAGCAACTTCAAACTCTTGGGCTTAAGAGATTCTCTTGCCTCAGCCTCCCAAGTAGCTGGGACTACAGGTGCCCACCACAACACCTGGCTATGTTTTGGTTGCAGTTGTCATTGTTGTTTAGCAGGCCCAGGCCGGGCTCAAACCTGCCAGCCTCAGTGTATGTGGCTGGCATCCTACTCACTGAGCTATGGGCACCGAGCCTCCATTTTTATTCTTGAACCTTGCCATAGGCAGTCATTCTGTGGTGGTTAGTGTATCTCTTGGTTTGTGTGTGTTCTCCCATGATGTGTAGTGTTTTTGTCAGTGAGTTTTTAATTTATGCAAGTGAGTTTATGGTCTTTACTGTTTGAAATAATCAGCACCGTGCTTTTACCCTCTATGTACACATGTGTAGGTCTAATCAGCTACTTCCACCTGCTGCTTGATGTTCTGTGGTGTGAGGCCCCTCTGTGCTGTGTATTCCCTTCATCTCACGAGGACAGCTTTCCTGTTCCCTCAACTCACCATCACCACAAAAATGCTTCATCCTTGTCCATGTTCCTTTGTAGGTAAAGGGGGAAATTCTGGTTTTATGTACTTGGGGCATCCCAGTAGTTGGTATATATAAACTGAATTTGACTAAGTATTGTCAGACTTCCCCCCGTACTGCTGCTTTGGAACTGAGACACTGATCGGAACTCCTCTGTTCCTCTGGGTCTAGAAGAGGGTCCTATCCCTTTCTCCCGATACTACCCATGAGCAGCAGTGCACAAGGATTCCTTTTTTTTTTCTTTGAATCAGAGTCTCTCTTTGAGGCCCTTGGTAGAGTACCATGGCTCATAGCTCACAGCAACCTCAAAGTCATAGGCTCAAGTGATTCTCTTGACTCAGCCTCCTAAGTAGCTGGTCCTATAGGCACCCACCATGACGTCTGGCTAGTTTTTCTTTCTTTCTTTCTTTCTTTTTTTTTTTTGTAGAGATGAATCTCGCTCTTGCTCAGGCAGGTCTTGAACTCCTGGCCTGAAGCAATCCTTTTTCCTTGCCTCCCAGAGTGCTAGGATTATAGCACAGCGTGAGCCACTGTGCCTAGCCTCAAGGATTCCTATATCTGCACATTCCTGTCAACGCTTATCTTTTTTCCAGCTTACTGATCTTTACCAGTCTGATAGATGAACAGTTCTATAGATTGTATTTCCCTGATTTTTGTTGGGTTCAAGAGTCTCTTCACATGTTTGTTAGCCTTTGTGGTTTGCTTCCCTGAAGATTTTCTCTTTGTATGCTTGGCCTATTTGCTTATTAGCATTGTGCTCTTTTTCTTGTCTATTTGCAGGAGATCCTTGACTGTTCTTGTTGGCTTAAGGCATTACATATATTCTCATGCCAATTTTGGCATTTAATCTTATTTTAGAAATTTATCTCCTTCATCTAGGTTTTCAAATTTATAAATGTAGAGTTGTTAATGATACTTTAATTAATTAATTAATGTTTTTTTGAGACAGGGTTTCACTCTGTCACCCAGCTGGAGTGAGGTGGTGTGATTGTAGCTCACGACAGCTTCAAACTTCGGGGCTCAAGTGATTCTTCTGCTTCAGCCTCTTGAGTAGTTGGGACTATAGGTGTGTGTTACCATACCTGGCTAATTTGTTTTTTATTTTTCGTAGAGATAGATAGGGTCTTGGTATGTTGTCTAGGCTGGTCTCAAATTCTTTGCCTGAAGTGATCTTCCCACATTGGTTTCCCAAAATTCTGGGATTACAGGTGTGAGCCACTGTGCCTGACCAGTGATACTTTTGTTGTTTATGAAACATCTGCTGTCTGTTACTTACCATTTTTCATTATGTATTTTATTTATATTTTCTCTCTTGATCAGATTTGCCAAAGAACTCATTAATGTAGTGAAATAGTCATTCTTTTTGGTAATAATTTTGTTTGTTATTTAAATGATTTCTGCCCTCATCCTTCTTTTCATTCTTTTATTTTTGTGGAGAAAGATTTTCCTTGTTGTCCCTTGTACAACCTCAGCTAATCATGAATATATTTATTTTTAAATCTTTTTTTTTTTTTTTTTGAGACGGTCTCATTTCTCACTCTTGGTAGAGTGCCCTGGTGTCACAGCTCACAGCAACCTCAAACTCTTGGTCTCAAGTGATTCTTCTGTCACAGCCTCCCAAGTAGTTCAGACTACAGGCATCTGCCACAACACCCACCTATTTTTATTTTTATTTATTTACTTTTTTGAGACGGAGTTTCAAGCTGTTGCCCTGGGTAAAGTGCTCTGGCATCACAGCTCACAACAACCTCAAACTCTTGGGCTTAAGCGATTCTCTTGCCTCAGCCTCCCGAGTAGCTGGGACTACAGGCACCCGCCACAATGCCGGGCTATTTATGGTTGTTGTTGTCATCGTTTGGCAGGCCCAGGCTGGACTCAAACCCGCCAGCTCCAGTATATGTGGCTGGTGCTCTAGCTGCTGAGCTACAGGGACAGAGCCCCAGCTATTTTTAGAAACAGAGTCTCACTCTTGCTCAGGTTGATCTTGAACCTGTAAGCACAGCAGTCTACTCCCTCAGCCTCCCAGAGTGCTAAGATTACAGGCGTGAGCCACCACACCCAGCTAAATCTCTTTATTTTCTGATAACTGTATTTAAAAGTATAAATTTACTTCTAAATACTGCTTTAGCCATGTCCCAAATTTTGATACGTAGTTTTGTGGGTTTTTTTTTTTTTTTGAGACTTGGTCTCACTCTGTTGCCCAGGCTAGAGTGCTGTGGCATCATTGTAGCTCACAGCAACCTCAAACTCCTGGGTTTAAGCAATCTTCTTGCCTCACCTTCCCAAGTAGCTGGCATTACAGGCTCCTGCCACAATGCCCAGCTAGTTTTCTATTTTTAATAGAGACAGGGTCTTACTCTTGCTCAGGCTGGTCTCAAACTCCTGAGCTCAAGCAATCCATCTGCCTTGACCTTCCAAAGTCAAGGATTATAGGCGTGAGCCACCACACCTGGCCTGACATGTAGGTTAAAAAAGAAAAAAAAAAACTTTGGATATTTGCAAAGGTTACTGGCTCACAGGGAGTTGCAAAAATAGTGCATAGAACCCCTTCCTCCAGTTTCTCCATGGAGACATTTTATATAACCATAATGTAACCACATGAAATTGATAATCTGTACAATACACTTAACAAGACTACAGACCTTATTTGGTTTTCAATAGATTTCACATGCAGGTGTGTGTGTGTGTGTGTGTGTCTCTGTGTACGTGTATGATATGTAGTATTTCTTTTTCCATTTCTAAATACTTTTTAAATTTTTGTGTTGAACCGAAGTTTATTTAATAATATGTGGATACTTAAAACGTGCACACAGGAGTTTTGGTGCCCGTTTGTTGTATTGGTCTCATTGCTTCTGGCTGGAGAACAGCCTGTAGAATAATGATTGTCTGGATGAGCCAGCATCCTCTGCTGAGCACTAAGTCCAATGGGAGGATCTAAGTGGGAGGGGAGAGTTGTGCTTTGAAAAGCTAATATACTGAGTATGGTTTAGATTGGAGGGCAGACAATGGAGTTAGGAGGACCTGTGTCCCTGAAGGTCTCAGGGAACCTATGTCCCAGAAACTGACCCAGTCAACTTTTTGCTCCAGAAACAGTGACCCAGAGGCAGGTGGACAAAGAATTCAGGGACTGACAGGAACTGAGCTTGGGACCCAGATTGAAACTGGGTCAGCATCCAAGACCCAGACCAAGATCATGGGACCCCAGCATTTGAGACCCATGCAGCTGCTCTGCCTCCTAGGGGCCATCTCCACTCTGCCTCGTATGTCCCATGGGGCTGGATGCTATAAGAACCTAGAAGGTGGGAGGCTGGACTCACATCACTGGGGGAGGAGGGCTGGCTGTCTAGGTCCCTCCTGGGACAGGCCTTGTGGAGGCTGAACTCTTGGGATTTCAGGGGCTGAGAATGCGATGTGAGGGGCTAATGACTGGAAGTGCATTCTCCTTTTAGGGGCTGGAGCTCTTTTGTGCTATGAAGCAACAGCCTCAGCCTTCAGAGCTGTTTCTTTCCACAACTGGGAATGGCTTCTGATGAGGAGTATGGTGTGCAAGCAGAGAGAAGGCTGCGAAGAGACGCTAGTGTTCATTGAGGCAGGTAAATTGGAGTGGGTTTGACACATTTCTCTTCTTGTTCTTCTAACCTTCCGCTTCAGTCCCAGCACCCAGGGTCTCTGGAATAGAGTTCCATATACTTCATTAGATGTTTGGAATAATGTCAGGACACTGGCAGGAGAAGGTCAGGACCCAGCTGGTTGTGGTGTGGGCCAGATAAGAGGGCAGGATGGAGGTAAGCAGATACCTGGAGGAGGAGGATGTCTGGGGGAGGAGAAAAGGATGGGCACAAGGGAGAGAAGAGTGGGGCCTTGTGGGAAGAAGAACGAGGAGATATAGACGGAGACTCCAAATCTGAGCCCTGTGAGGTTGCTGGGAGTGGACATGGGAGCAGAAGCAAAGCTGGTGAGGGGGCAGGGAGGGTACAAGAAGAGCAAGAGGGTTTGGTGTCCGTGCTCAGCAGTTAGGGGTTTGGTGTCCATGCTGGCCACATGCACCGGGGTCGGAGGAGGGCCGGTGGGTTTGAACCTGGCCCAGACCTGCTAAACAACAACAAAAATAGCTGGGCGTTGTGGCAGGCAGCTGTAGTCCCAGCTACTTGGGAGGCTGAGGCAAGAGAATCGCTTAAACCCAAGAGTTGGAGGTTGCTGTGAGCTGTGACACCACGGCACTTTACCGAGGGCAACATAGTAAGAAACTGTCTAAAAAAACAAAAAGAAGATCGAGGGGCAGGGGACTGTGAGTGAGGCCAATGACACTGATCAGAGTTCTTTAATCCTGTGCTCCTCAGGGTCCAGAAGAGGAGTTGTGGGTTTTAAAGGCTGCAGCTTAGCCTCGTCTTACCCACCGCAAGTCTCCTACCTTGTTTCCCCACCTGGAGTGTCCATTGCCTCCTATAGCCGAGTCTGCCGGACTTATCTCTGCAACAACCTTACCAGTTTGGAGCCGTTTGTGAAACTAAGGGTCAAAGGTCCTAAGTCTGTAGCCTCTTCTACGCATACGTGCCCAACCTGCGTGGGCATGCACACTAAGACTTGCCTCCCAAATTTTGTCACCAATGATGGTTGCCCCTACATGGCACCTGTGTGTTATAGTTCCACCTTAAAATTTCAGGCAGGTGAGAGGAGAGGAACTTTGTCGGATGCCTACTTTATGCCAGTTACTAGTGTCTTCACATCTTTGAGAGAGGCTGGTGGGATCTGGAGGTGGGATTGGGGTTGCAGAGGGCCAGGTACATGAATTCCAAAGAGCAAGGGGTAAGGCACCCAGTACCCAAGTCGCTGGTAGGAGAACAGGTGTCCTGGCTTGTGAGGGGCCTGGGAAGAGGGCAGGGCTCTGAGTTTTGAAAGTGTTCCTGGCTCGGCACCTGTGGCTCAAGTGGCTAAGGCACCAGCCATATACACCTAAGGTGGTGGGTTCGAATCCAGCCTGGGCCTACCAAAAACAACAATGACAGCTGCAACCAAAATAGCCAGGTGTTGTGGCGGGTGCCTGTGGTCCCAGCTACTTGGGAGGCTGAGGCAGGAGACTCGCTTGAGCCCAGGAGTTGGAGGTTGCTGTGAGCTGTGATGCCATGGCACTCTACCCAGGGGTATAGCTTGAGGCTCTGTCTCAAAAAAAAAAAAAAAGAAAGTGTTCCTGATGACTTTCTCTCTTCCTTAAAGGGTCTCTCAATTCCACCTTCCTCCTCATGGGCTGTTCTCGTGAACATCACCAGCTTTTATCAGATTTTCAGCATATTGGGAGCATCAGAGTGACCGAGGTCCTCAACATCTTAGAGAAGTCCCAGATTATTAGTGCAGGGTCTTCCAGGCAGCACCCTGCTTGGGGCATCCCTTTAGGCCTCCTACTTGCCTTCAGAGACTGACCATCTAGCTGGCCCCAACACTCAGATCTCTTTGTATAACCAAATAAAGTCACAGAGTTACCTTTCTGCTTTGTCCTGTGGTCCATGAGTGTGGAAGGTGTGAGGAAGGCCAGGCATGTCCAAGGACGTGAGGGGAGAGCCCAGAGAAAGCCAGCAAAGTGACAGTGCTGGGCCCAGCAACTGGGGGAAATCAAGTGTTCATTTTCTCCTTTCTCTTCTTTTGGGGGCCTGAGCTCTAGCCTGGGTTCATTCTAGACTTATAAGATGCTGGCTAAATTTCTGTTCTTTTCTGTGCTTTGATTTCCTTCTCTCTAAAAAGAAGAATCTTCTGAGGTAGAGCTGAGTTTTGTCAGGGTGCTTTTTAACTGTGATCACTCACTCGATGTGTGTCAGATACTGTGCTACTGTTTGTGTTAGTGTTCACGAACCAAATCTATTTAATCCTTACAAGACCTTAGTGAGAGGGCTTTTATCCCTATTTTGCAAAAAAGAAACTGACTGTAGAGCAGGGGTCCTCAAACTTTTTAAACAGGGGGCCAGTTCACTGTCCCTCAGACCATTAGAGGGCCAGACTGTGGGCCCCGGGATGAGTCGGCTGCTAAGCCGGACTGGCAGCGGTGGCAAAAACACCCGGCGGCCGGATAAATGTCCTTGGCGGGCTGCACGTGGCCCGTGGGCCATAGTTTGAGGATGCCTGCTCTAGAGTAAATTACCTGCCTCGAGTAGCATCTCCTTTGCCTCCTGGAGATCTTTGTTCCTGGTGAGGGAATTTCATTGGAAGATTTGGAGGCCTGAGCTGCTTTCCTTTGCCCAGTAATCATTTCTTTGAAAAACTAGCAAGTAAGAAAGAGAGATGACAGAGCAGGACTGGTGTGGTTGGTGTTCACTGAAGTTCAGTTTCTGGGCTCCTCGGAGAGGAGGACAATGTGATTCTTCTCTCGGACCACAAGGGGGCAGCAGATACACCTACTTTGCAACATCGTGACTTCAAGTCTGAGTGTTTGTGTGTGTGTGGGGGGGTGTTTAGGGGTGGGGAATAGGGACGGGAGAGTCTGTGTAAGGCCATTTATTTGCAAGGTCTCAGTTTAATTTTCTCCACTATCTTATGAGGTTTAGAGGGCGGGCCCGAGGGTATTTCCACTGTGGGTGAAGCATTTTCTGTGCATCATTTCATCCTTACTACAACCTTATTAAGTAGATATTGCCACTTCTATATTTCCATTTTACAGGCTTAACTACCTGAGACCACAGAACTCACCTTTGTCAACTTCTTGAGACAGTGGGATGTGAAGTACAGATGCCTGGAACTGGCCTCAGAAATGGGACTGGCATGAGGTCTTGATTGCCATGGGCCCCAATTACCTCCATTACCAATCTAGGTTTTGGAAGGGGAGGGGAAGCCAAAGGGAGTAATGGTAAGTGGAATAGGGCTGGATGGAGACCACAGAGCCTATGGCAAGGGGCTATTAGGTCATGGAAGAGCTTTTTGGGGATGAGTTTTGTCAGTGGACTCCACCTACCCTTTTCTAACTTCTGGGCAGCTGGGCTGGTAGGTAGTTTTAGAGAACTCAGCCAAGACCTGGGTGGGCCAAGTCATGCTTAATCCCAGTAGCCAAGGTAGTGGGGACCTCCACAACCTTCAAAGGGAATTGACAAAGGGAGTGGTGTCCTAGGTATGCCAAATGGATAATTCCAATCCTGATACCAGAGAGGGGACATATTTACAATATACAAAAGATTATATGTAACAAAATATGGGATATAGAGTATAATTTAATGAACCCTTTGGGCATATCACCCAACC